GCCTATGCCCGTTTTAAGGGTAAGTTCTGCAATATCCCGGTCATCAGTGCCTGTGCTCTAACTCTGTCGGCAGATGACCGTGATAAAGATAAGTTCTATGCGGAACTTCAACTGCTAACAAAGTCTCTACCGAAACATGGTATGGCGATAATCGAGGGAGACTGGAATTCGCTCGTAGATCATAATGCCGCTGCGATGACCTTGACAATTGGCAAATATGGCATCAGAGACCGGTGCGCCAATGAGGAACACCTTCGTTGTGCCGATTAGCATGAACCTTTTGTTACTAATACTTGCTTCGGGCATCGTAAAAAAACATCTAGTCACGTGGAACTCCCGGATAACCAACACTTCAACCAGACTGATTACATCTTAGTCAGTCGTCTTTGGAAGAGTTCCGTATTAGATAGTCGTTCCTATCGCGGCGCTGAAAAGAGCAATCTTCATGGACCTGACCATGTTATAGTTCGGGCCAAGATCCGCATAAAATTGACAATTCACAGAAAACAATATCCTTCCAAGATCCTTTAATTATCTCAAACTAAAAAATTCAGGGACAGTGAGCATATTTCAAACTGAAGCATCTCAGTGATACAAATATCAATGACTTTTTTGGAACGGCAAATGAATACTGGTCCAAACTAAAGGAATGTCTCCGAAGGCCAGCCACTTCCACGCTATGGCATGCTAGTAAGAAGTGTGCTAGTTGGGTATCGGAAGCAAATGTCCAACTGTCTAAAAAAGCTGCCAAAACACGAATGTCAGATGATCCTGACTACCGGATGCTTCGAAGATTTGCAACGAAAGCAGCACAGTGGGACAGAAATCAATATTGGAGTGAAATGGCCCTGAGAATGGAGATGGCGGCTCGATTAGGTGATAAAAGGAAACTATTCCGCCTTCTTAAACTATAATTCGAGGAACGATCAGTGAAATGGTAAGGGACAGCAATGGCGTGCCAGTCATAAATATTAAGGATCGCCTCATAAGATGGAAAGAATTCGTTGAGGCCAAACTTAACCATGAAGCGCCATCTTTTGCCCCTGAAATAGCTGATACGTTCGCTGAACCATACGCTTGCAACTTTGAGCAGCTATAAATGAGGAGCTGAAAACTAGCTTAGAAGTACTCATTAATTGTTAATTGATACTAAAAAGGCCAGAAAAATCACTTTTTAAATTTGCTAGCAATTTTCTCATATACAACAAAACGATAAGAGCAAAAATTCTCCAAAAATTTTTCTATTTAATCGATTAGGCTAGCTGATTTATTAACTAATCACTATGCTGACTGGCACCATTGTGTAAAATTGACATCTGGTGAAGTGTTCCTGTAATCCTATTTCAAATTTTTTCCATTAAGCTTGATTCTTTAAACTGCTTTTCTTAAGCTTTCAATAAACTAAAATTAATTAAGTCAATGTCATCGCCATCTTATTGTATATTTTCTTATAAATTTAGTCCATAAATATATTCCAAAAACATATAAATTCATAAACTGTGGTTAGCGTTCATTCCTAAGTTTACTCTATAATCTATTTATCAAGAAATATAAAATATAAAATAAATACTTTGTCGAATTTTCACTATAATTCAATAAGCAATAAACAAGAGGGATATTTAGGGATATAGTTGCTGATAAAAATTTTTAATATAAAACGAGAGTATAAGGCTAATATTTAAGGATTAAATGTAGCAAGGAGGCATCATTGATCATTAATTTGCATCGTATTTTTTATTAACTGAATATTCATCGAAGTCCATGTTTGGTGGATTTTTGTTAGTTCTTTGAGAAATATGAAATAACATGTCTTTAGCCGAGCTATCCTTAAAGTAAATGATTGATTTAAACTAGTTTTATGGTGGAAATGAAGGATGATAGTGGATGCTTGCTTTCATGATTTTCGTAAGAGTGATGAATAAACAAACATCTTTGTGTTTCTCTATAAAAAATTTTCTGACTTTCTAAATTTCTAGCCAACCAGCTTTCCCAATTTCTTTGCCATTGTTTAAATAGCTTTTAAATCTATCTTCTTAACGTTTCCTTCGCGGAAAAATATATCTTCCGCGTTTATTTATTCGTTTTGCTTTCTTGCCTCAGTCATTTGAAGTGGAATTTTGCCTTTCATACGAATTAAATTTTTCATAATTTGTAAATTTTTTCAACCAAGACTATTTATTTCTACTAAACTTGCTTACTTTATCGTGCTTGTTCTTAAATTTTTAATTCTTTATCGCTATTTCGATTGTTTTTTTACGATAGACAATTCGTTTTCTTTATATCAAATTCTTTTATAGACATTGGTAATTTGTCGTTTAGTTTGTAAATATTAAGAACGGAACGGAATTTTACTGAATTCTGTAGCATTGAGATAGTTGGTGAGATTGAGATAGTCCGATTTTCCTGTTTTTCCTGTTTTAGAAAGGTTAAAATTATTTTTTAAAACTGCACTGATTTCATAATTCGTTCAAAATGCGTAGTTATTGCATCAAATTCTATCAGTTTAATAAATAATCCACACATTTTTTTTAACAACAAATCGATTAAACCAGTTCAGTTTGAATATTGCAGAATGAGTTTCAGCTTGTTACAAAATGTTTTGATACTTCCAAAATTATAGATTTCCAAATTTATACGTGCTAAATTTGTCCTTATAAATTTTCATTCTTTTTTCTATAAAACAAGCTGAAAATCTGCATAATGTGCTAGACGATAATTGACGATAATTGTATGAAAAAGGAAGGAGAGATTTGATAGTTTTTGCTTAGAGCTCTTTCCTAATAATTACTTTTTCTGTGATCTAATCTGAACTGGATTCGATACCTTGCTGGCAGCTGTTTATTTTTAGCGGTTTTGCCACTTAACTACTCTATGGGAGAGCGATTAAATTCTTTTCAACATCTCTTCCTTTTTTCCCTTTCCTTTTTCAATTAGCGCACTATATTTTCGCCGAGCGACTGTATCGCCAAATTTCGAATGTAATACGCTCACCGTTTATGATTAAGCTTATTTCGCTGGCTTGCCCAGCTAAAAAAATTTTGTCGGAGAATCATTTGGTGACGGAAGCATAAGTCAGAAGCATCTCCCGGGGAATCACACTCAAATTTTGTTTTACAAGCAGAATTTTAGAAGTCATAGATGCTATTTAGTATGGTAGACTTTTATCGCTTGTCGAGATTTGTCAGGAATTTATATATTTGACAAAATATTGTGTTTATCAAAAAAAGTAAAAAATGAAAATAAAATCTGAAGTGTTGTTATTACAAGAATTAAAATAGTTTTTAACAAATGGAGAAATGGGATTTTGTCTATAGGGAATCTAAATAACAGCTGACATAGGATAAAATCGATTATTTTATATTTTATATTTTGATGCTGCTTTCTATATTTACTTCTATATTTATATTTGTTTCTATACTTCTGGAATGATTGTAGTTACTAATCACGATCCAGTTTGTTAGTTGGAACCACAAATAATATGAATTTTGCAGCCTTTCGTGCAATCGAATGAATTTTCTTTTTTCGTAGTCGACATAAAAACGAAATAGTACGGACATTTATTTGCGCCTTGAATTTAATTTGTTAGTAAATTCCTTAGTTAATTTTACAGAATAAATGAAAATATTCTTGAACAAATTTCTTGTGTGAAAAACTGTTTCTTTTAAGGACGAAAATATTAATGGTAAATCTCCTCCAGATTGTTTGAAATGGTCACCACTCTTTCATTTGTTTATAGCAATTTTTTAAAATGCAACAATACTCTGTAATACTCTGTAAGTGAAGAGATTTAGATTTAGATTAAATTTCTTTGGCGCGTAAGTGAAGAGTAGCTCGATTGTAAAAGGATCAATATGTAAAGTACGAGGATTTTTATATCTAAAGCAAACTGATAATATTGTAATGAGATGGAAAATATTCTTTGGTTTCTTTTTCTGTTTCTGATTTATCTTTAACAACATAACTATTCAGTTGCTTTTACCAAAAAATATCAATAACACTCTCTTAAAAGATAAATTTTCTGATGAGAAATATCTATGAAGCAAAAAATAAAGGTGGTCAAAGCTCTTAAAAAGCTCTTAAAAAAATCAAGGTGGTCAAAAATGCTCGATGTTTATACGATGTATATATATTAAAATACCTTAGAAAAATACAATTCAATAAAATTTAATGTATGCGCATACTGAAAAAGTTTGAAGTCTTTGCAACTGCATAAAGCAAATTATTATGTAAAAAACTTTATAATTAAAAGTAAGATTCGAGTAGCTCTGGCAACCCACATTTATTTTTCAAAGTTATTTTGTAAGAACGAAAAAAAATATCTAGATGGCCGATACAAAAGTTTTTTGCAAAATTCTTGAATATCTACTATTATTACTATTTATTATCATTATTTATTATTATTAATTATTAATTGTTATTGTTATTAATTATTATTATTACTAATTATTATTATTGTTATTATTATTATCGCTATGATTATCAATTTGGTAAATCGATAAACATATGGTTTTGTTATGATTCCTACTTTTTAGTATGAAATTCATGCATTTTCTGTAATTCTGTTATAATATTAATATTTTATTTGTGCAATATTAATAACGTGATGATATTTTTCTGCTATGGAATACAATTCTATGAAAATCGAATTATTAAAATTATGGAATTATTAAAATTAGTGAATTTATTTCTTTCGTATATTTGGCAATAGATTTGATTTATCACCCCCAGTAGAAAATTTGCTGAAAATAGTTTGAACTGACCAGAAAAAGAAGTTATAGGTACCTTACGCATTGTCCTTTGTTTAATTCATCTGGTTTGCTAAAAGGATTCAAAGGAAAAGAAATCTGAAAAAAAATTATTTTCTGAAAAGTTATTTGTTTAGAAGCTAAAAATTCTTTTAGTCTTCAAAATCTTCTTTTAGTCTATAGCGATCATATATCATTTATTTTTGTGGTCGATATCTATTAATCATTTCTTCATTGTGGAATGAAATAAAGGGCATGGAAGAAGCTGCAAAAATTGTCTTAGTCGTCATTATAAGTACAATGAGTTTTATTTCATGTAATTTTTTAAATAAATGTGCACAAATGTGCACATGTACGTTAAATATAATACGTTATCTTTTTACTCGAAATTTTCAGACAAAATGACTGAGCAAGAAGACACTAACATTATGACCGATTCGGATCTTGAAAAAGCCTTAGATGCTCTAAGGGAACAAGATTCTTCGGGCGAAGTTGGAGAATTACTCAGTAAGTGATTACTTTTTATCTTTAAAGAGCAACTTTTTATCCTGTTTGTCCTACTAATCACATATATTTTCCTGAATTATATCCATATATTATCCATATATTCATAATTGATAAATATTAATATCATATTAATATCAATGCATCTTTTCACCTTCGATATTAACGCAAATTTTTTTACATTATTAATATTGAGTTTCGCTGAAAAGATCTTGTTAATATTTGGACCTAAAGTGCTTTTTTAGAAATGATGAATGAAAATCGAATAATAAGCTGGGAAGAAGCTGAACAGATTCTCGGTGGTTCATCATATAATGAACCAGTGAAATCATCTCTTCCCGAACAGACTCGGCCTACTGAACCCGAAAATGATACCGACGTTGATCTTTCAATTCAGCGATTACTTCAGAACGATCCTAAACTTAAGCAAATAAATTTGAATAATATGAAGGTCAAGTTTTCTTAGTTTTAGTTTTTTTCTTCTTTCTTTGCTTTATTCTTTTTAGTTCTGGACTAGTTTTTTTTTTTCATTTCATTGAAAATCCATTTATATAATTTTTCTGCTATTATACTATGCCTTGACTAAGATTTGGTTTTGAAGAGTCCTTGGCGCAGAAAATATGTGACAGAAATCTGAGCTCTTAAATCAAGTCAAATTAGATGACTGAGTATCGTTTCTGCTAGGGCGAGGACCGTTTAAGCCAGTCCTTGGAAATGAAATAATAAATGAAATAAATGAGTGATGCTAAAGGCTCACCTCAACAGTAATAATAGAGCCAGTCAATTCGAAATTTTTTGTTTTCTGCTAGAAGAATTCTAAATCATAACATATATAATACGTACACAACATATATAATACGTATACAAAAATGTATGAAGTGGAAATAAGGAAATTCTTTTTATGTTATATTTGCATAATTTGCATAATTCGAATTCGTTATTTGAATTATGCATTTATATTATATATTGAATTCTAATTCTCGAATTCCTTTAGCGCACTCCTATTCCTCAAGTTCAGAGGTTAATTGCTGCTATACGAGACAATACAAATTTGGAAAAACTATCTTTAGCCAACATGAGCCTCTATGATGGAAATATTGAGGTAATTATTTTATCGCCTTCTAATTCAGCTTAAGGCAAGCAAAATCTACAGCTGATGTGGAATAAAGTAAATAGACTATATGAGACATCAGAAAAGGGAAAACTTTGAAATTTGTGAATTGATCGAATAACTGGTGTATTCAGCACACATAATAGATATTTCATCATTTTCGTTCTATCAGTCATTGATTCCAGCACTTTCAAAAGATACTTTTATTAAATAAAATGTATCCATTGAAATAGATTATTCTCGAGATTTAAGCCACTGATCGATGTTCTTGAAAATAATTCAACACTGAAAGCTATCAATCTTGAAACGAATTATCTTAGTGGTGACTTTTTCGCTCGCCTTTTTAAAGCGGCTTTAAAGAAACAAACACTTGAAGAAGTGAAAGCAGTTAATCAAGTAATTTTTTTCTGTTATTGTTCAAATAGAGCAAAGAAAATTGAAATGATTAAGATAATGTAGCAGAACCATATGAGTTGTCATTGTCTATCTATTATTTTCATGGATGAATTTATTATCTTCTTTGACACTTTGATGCTAATGTTGTTTGCTATGATCGAATGCAAACGATAAAAATATAGTTTCATCTTCTTAAAAATATAATTGCATCTTCTTGTTCTTCGAACAGCTCTTACCATTACCGATTAGGCTGTCTGTGCTGGCTAAGACGTTTCCAAATTGCGCGATGCCATCGTTAATAATAGAAGCCATTCCTTTTTCCACCGTTTAAGTTCATATATGGCTGGTCTACCTATAGTCCAGAATCTTTCCTGACTGTATCAGATCTTGATTGGCTCTCCTCGCTTTTGACGCAAACCATCACAGGGTTCGGCAAATGACGAAATATCCGTCAACTCCTGCGGTGGAAATGCCTAACCAGCGAAGACGACACTCTGTGATAATATTATTAATGCAAGTAGTATTTGAACGAAGATGGATGCGATCTTGTGATATTTTATCCGCTCGATAGACCTGTAAAATATACCTTAGACAAGAGTGGTCAAAGATAGATAACTTCTTAAATCCTCCTCTCTCAGTGGCATCGCAAGCCATTAAAATCGAACGAAATAAAGCGATATGGACTCGGACTTCCGTATTTATGATGATTTCACGACAGCTTTGCCAACCAGAAGAACATTAGAAATTTCTAGAGCACTAGAAGAAATTTCTAGCTATCGTTATGCGGGTAGTTACGTCTTTCGCTTGGTCGTTTGGGATTAGAGTGAGTCTAAAATATTTGAAGTGTGGCACTTCATTAAGCAAAATAAATTGATAAAAATAAGTACTTTATTAGCTTCTTGTTCATAAGAAGGAAAGGCTTTTATTTATTCTGGTCATGAGTCCGATTTTCGCTGCATTGTTTAGCAGTATTTGCGGTTCGTCATAACTGTCAGCAAAATGGGCTAAATCATCACCGTATTCAAGGTCTGTGATACGATGCTCTGGACTGATTTGGACACCTCTTGAGTGCCGATAGGTGATGTCCATTATCTAGCCAGTTGCATATTGTAGAAGGAAATAGGTAGCTTTGACGGACACCAGTTTTTATTTCGAACGTGTATGTCAGTTCCTAATTACGCAGACCTATGCCGATATATGCTGATAAAATTCCTTCATGAGTACAGTGATCTTCTCTGGAACACCTTCGCGTTCCTTCATCCTCCAAAGCGCCATTCTATTAAATTGAATCGAAGGCAACTGCAAAATCGATAAAACATGTAACGGTGGGTTGCTGATATTTAAAGTGGTGTTTCTTTTTTAACATGAATATCTGGTTAACGCGATCTCGACCCGCTCTGAATCCTGCTTGATTAGGGCATATCCCGTTGTTCCCTACTACCATAAGTTAGTTTATTTATTAGATGGGAAGCAAAAATTTTCCCAGAGATATCTAGGTGGTTGATTCCTCGGTAATTGTCACAGTATGTCCTGTCACTTTTCTTAGGAATTGGAAGAACAACTAGTTTGCTGCAGTCATTTATCTGGTAATATTTCTTTCTTCGATTCCAGAAAGTACATTTGTTGAAAGTGAGAGACGATGGATAATATTTTAAGAGTCCAGGAGACCACTTTCTGGGAGCTTTATTGGCCTTAAGCTTGTGGTTAGCAGGTTGTTTCCTCTTCTGTTGGCGATTTGCCGTTGCGAACGAAGAGTGAATTAGCTATTTCGGGTACAACAGATGGCAAATCGTGTTACGCTTAGCCTCAAAAAATTATGAGGCGATATTTATTACTCTTAATAGGTATACATATTTGCTATCCTGCTCCATTTCACTGACCGTTCCCTGAAATATAACTATATAGTTTCTTATTATCACTTAATCTTGCCGCCATCTCCATTCCAAGGCCATATCACTCCAGTAATGATTTCTGGCCGGTCGAGCTGCTGTTATAGTATCGAAGCATCTAATAGTCAAGATCACCTGACATTCATGCTTTGGCAATCTTTTTGGATAATTGCTTCCGATACCCAACTAGAATACTTCCTCTTCTTTCTAGTATGTAATTTCTAGCTCTAGTATGCATCCAGATGCGTGGATTATTGTTCTCTAAATTTTTGATGCGTCAGTTCACAAAAATATTATTGATAAAACCTTATTTTTTGGCCACAGTTTTAGTTTATTTTTTTCTAAATTTGAAGGGAGTAACTTTTGCAACTGTTGCCGAAAAAGAAATAATTGATGCGATTTGTGAAAATCGAGCGTTAATAAAAGTTTCAATTAATTTGCGATTGCCTGAGGGTCGTCATAAAATCGAAAATGCAATGATAAGGAATGGAGAAATAAGTCCGTTTTCCTTTTTTCGTCTTTATTTTGTTATTATTTAGATATTTGATAATAAAAATTCACAAATAAATTTATTTCAGTGAAACTGCACGTCCATTTTTCACTGAAATTTATTAATTTAATATTTGGTTCATATTAAAAAAATAATAATGATAAATGATAATAATAAAAAAATGATAAAAATGATCCTTAATTAAGTGCTGGATTCGTAATTTTTAAAGAAATTATTTGCTTTTTCCGTGTCTTTCCATGTTGTTTGTTATTCTATTTTCTTCTATTATAGAAAGGGTACTAAGAAGAGAGCAGAAGGCGGCAGCTGCAGCAAAATTAGAAACAACACAAATGGACGAAACAGTAGCAAAGCATTCGAATGATAAGATGAAGGCTCCCACTAATGCACCATCCACCAAATTATTGACATATGCTAATGCGAATTCTACATTGCCAAATGATAGTAGCGCTCCACCAGCAACTAAGGCAAAAAAAGCGACTACTGATAAATCACCCAAAAGTCATGTAGTTCCCAAAAAGATGACAGCATCAAAAACACTAGATTCCAATGATGCTTCAAAGATCACCACAAAAGAAACTATAGCTACGAAAACTGAGGAAAAAAAAGGAGCCTGCGAGAAAAAAGAAAAGTTGACAACAAAAATTAAAACGACAGAAAAAGAAAAAACTACAGCGGATTCGAAACCAGTATCAAATCCATATGTCAAGCCAAAATCAACTCTTCTAAAGGTCGCTAATTTTGTAAAATTACTAACATTCACCTAACCAAAGTTTGTTAGCGCAGTATTTGTTTATTCTTTTATGATTTACAATTTCTAATAATATATAAATCATTTGTGTACAAGATTCGCCGTTTATCCGTTTTTTTATAATCTTTAAGAAGTCCAAGTACTTCTACTTAATTCCCTGTCAGAGAATAACTAATTAGTAGTTGTGGGCAATACGGCATTCAAGTCGGAAATAAATGTGACAACATCAGTTATGATGTGATGGCTGAGTCATATTTTGCTTCAGGTGAAGGCAAGCATGGATTTGATTCTGTTCTCTTTACAGGAGTAAGTCTGTTGAAAACTAGGAATTAGAGACTTCTGCCTGTGCCCTCCAAGTGGTCCTTTAGCGAGGATATTAATAGCTTAGCAGCCACTCAAGCATGCCAGATTAAAAGGTGTTGGCTATTAAAAAGAAGAAAGAGGTGAAACGCCTGGCGAATTCCTATTCTGAGATCAAATGATATCCAAATGGTTCTTTTAAAATGAATATTAGATCAGTGTTTGTCTTCCTTTGGCACCAAAATTTCACTTCAGTTTTTTGACACCTGCATAGCAGGTTTAAATTTTATTTTTATCTATCTAATTTATTAATACGCTGATTTTCATCGATTGAATCGATTCTCGTTTTAAGTTTATAGCGTATTATCATAAACCAAAATTCCAAAAAACCTATTTCTTCTATCGAAATATCGAAATTAAATGAGCTGAATAACAAATAAGCCATATTAATCCGAAAATTTATTACTCACATATATGATTAGCAAAAAAAAGATTATGATTAAGAAATATTTAAAATAAAAAAATTGTCAAAAAAAATGATTAGCAAATCCTAAGGAAAGCAGAAGTAAGTTCTTTGATGCAAGCTAATATAAACAGTGAATTTTTGCTTATATTAGATATTCATTCATTCATTGTTCCACAATAAAACAAATTAAAAATTTAAGTATCATCTTTCGGATTTTTTTTGAATTCTTAGTGAAGAATCGTCCAAGAATAAATAAATTCTAAAGATATAATACAGAAATTAAGTTATTAAGGCAAAAAAACAAAAAATTTTCCCATTTTCAATTTAGATAGTTGAGACAATTTTTTTTTAAAATTAGCTTTTAAGAAATTAAAGTAGTGGACGAATTGCATTAAAAATATAAAAACGGGGTCGAATATATATATCGTGAAATTTACTATGAAAAGTTTGACTTGCAGTAAAATTTAACTCCATTTCACTCACTTAATATCGCATAAAAAATATTGAAATTTCGTTATATTCCCCTAGTTCTTTGGAAGCTTATTATACATCGCATTTTACATCCACCAACGCCCATTGTACTCCCTTAACATCCCTGAATTTTTGTTACTCTTCCCTAATATTGCTTTAAAGAGGCAATTGTGGCCTAAATAAGTTATAATTCATATAGGATCAACCGAAACATTAAGATTGAATTAGAATTCTACTATAGGGCTATATCAAAGGACCTTATAGTCGCATTTTTGGCCTTTGATTTCGGCTTCGTTCGAAAAATTGCAACTGACCGATGGTTTCGGAAAATAGTATTGTATATATATATGTATATATATTACGAGTAGTTATATTTATTGTATTAATTTTAAAAAAGCTTAATTTAAATATAAACTAGGTAGAACATAAAATTAGATGCTGAAGTTAATTAATGATAATTATTGAAGTCAGAAAAGAGTTAAGTGAATAGTGAATAAAACAAATAAAAATTAAAATGAAGAAAAAAAGAACAAAAAAAATATTGAATGGTTGCAGCAAATCTCTTTATATGTTGTGAAAATAATTTTGTTGAAATATCTTTTAAAACTAGAACGGATGGAACAACATGAGACAGGATTTGTTCCAGTATTTAATACCTCGAACATAAAACTATCGATTAGAACATTGGTCCTAAAGATAGGCTCCCACTCAATTTTAATCACCTAGTCACCTTTAGACTAAAATTCAAATTGAAATCATAATTATTATAATTAGGATAGGTAAATATGGCTGAATGAAATCTTAATAATCAAATCCTGCTTAAATCTGACTCTTGGTGAATCAAGATCATATGACTTTAGTATGGGTTTATGAAGAGAAGAAGCTATATTTAAGCTTCGCAGGGACTTTTGTAGATTCCAGATTAATTAACTGGTTTGCTTAATCTAGTTGAGGAATTTATTGCGGTATGCTCTAGAATGTGGATGGAATGTGGATGGACGAATTTTTTACATTATTACATTACATTATTAGGAAGATTCTCGACTTAATTCTTAATCGACTTAAAAATTTGAAACATTAGATACAAAACCTTTGAGGATATTTAAACTGGTACAGTGGTTGAAGTTAAGTTTTTTGTCTGTTAATGGATCAAGATTTGCAAAATTACGCAGATCATTGCAGTCATCAGCAGAGATAATAGGAAGACTGGAGTCTTTGGAGTTGATATATAAAATTTTACATTTATCTGTCAATAATTTGTCTTTTCTGGAACTGTATTAATGAAATCATTTTGTATGGCATTTAAATTCTTCGATCTATTATGTGAGAAATAAATTATGCTGTCATCTGCATATTTGAATTCAAAACAATATTAGTGAACACATTAAAAAACAAAGGGCCTATAAAACTACATTGGAATACAGCAGACTTCACCGTAATAAAATCAGAGTGTTAACGACTTGGAAACGACCATTTAGATAATTTGGTACTTAGGCTTTATTAAAGGCTTTATTAATGATTCCTAATGCATTATAAGCATAGTTACCAATCTATTATATGATTTAATATCAAAGGTTTTAGCTAAGTCTAAAGTCTAAACAACTTAAATCATTAATATAGTAAAGACATATTGTAAATATCAATGTAGGTTGTCAAATTGTTACTTAAGTTCAACAAGAAATAAACCAGAAATAAGATTAAACATGATTAAACGATTAAACGATTAAATTGTGCTGTACTCTTATGCTGTATAAGGCCTTGGAATTTTCATTATTAAATATAATATTAAGTGTTCATGTTTCTGGTTAGATTTGTTTCATAGTTAATAGGATTAAGCAATTTTGTCAATTAGGGAATGGAATAGAAGTACCAGGCAAACCACATCCTCTGTATAATCCAGAGTTTTTATTAAGTCTAAGTTATGACTGAATGGCATGCAGGATTTTTATTTGAATTCGACATTTTACATATTGCAAAGTTTCTTTCAATGAGATCATTGGTTTTGTTTTGCTCTAAGAATCCAAAAAAAACACGCTTTCCAACACAGAAATCATTTTGTCAGAAAAGCGCTTATAGATTTTGACTATTAGTGAAGAAATTATACGTCATACGAGGGCCAAAAGTTTAACTGCATCTGTTCTTCCACTTGTTCAAGTTATTTTGTGTAATTGGCAATGGGGATGGAATGGCTCAGTGGGTTGTTGCTCAATTGGGAGCGATGCTGAAATTTGATTACCCGCAGGAGTAAACCTGTGTAAAAATCTGGGTGATGCTAGTGACTCACCTATATTTCTATTGCCAAGAAACTCCCTGGCAATGTGGCGAGTTTAACCAGTAATAGCTCTTGAGGACTGCTCTTGAAAAAAAATGTAATCGACAATAGTTCTCAGCGAATGACGAAATTAGTTCGTCCACTCAACGATTAAAAGATTCTTCTGTTAAAATCCTCTAGTTTAAGTGAAGTTTGTTTCACAGTTGCGCTTTAAGATCCTCGATTCAAGTCATTGCTTTTCCCATAATTCAAAAGTTTATGCCAGGAATGTTTTGTCTGCTACTTTCCACATCCACCAAAGATTCATCGAATATCAGAAACAAACTATTTGAAAAAATTTTTTGACTTTGAAAAACGATTAGAGCATAGGACTTTATTGATCAGAAGAAATGAGTGAGTGAAAAACTACGAACTGCATGATGAATTAGCTGCATTCATGAATGAATAAGGCAAAATTATTAAAAGAGGATAAACGATGAAATGAAAGAGAACATTTCGTTCTATCCAATACTAGCCAGAATAGCTCAAAAATACTTTGCATCAAGTATGCCATCTGAGCAAAACGAGAGTATTAATATCTGCCTAAGTGATAGAACATTTCTTGTGCAAAACAATTTTAAAATGTTGATTTTTTCGAAATCATTTTCCAAAACTGTTTCCACCTTACACACGTCCAGTTTTATACTGAAATCTTAATAAGATCTTCTCTTTTACTTCTGTTCTTTAAGCTTAGTTATAATAAAATGTTTGCTTAGATGTTTCTCTCGAAAAAGAAGTGTTCTATCACTTAGGCAGATATCACAAATGTGCGGCACTAAATCCTTCAGCTTTTCTCAAAAACCTCATATTATAATTCATTGGTAACATTCAGTTAGATCTCTTCACATCTCTTCAACCCCCTAATAATTCGCTTGGTATAATCGTAAAAGGCGAAAGGCACGACGGTAACTGAGGATACTTAAGGAATATAACAGGAATATAATAGGCGCTGAATCCTTCGACGTTTCTCAAAAACCTAGTTTTGAAATCTTAAAAAGATTTTTTATGCCCTTCGGCTTCAGCTTTGATCTTTAATACACCTTTAGTCTGTAACAAAAGAAATTTTTCAAGACAAGACAAGATATTTCTTGTCGGAAGAATAAATCATAAAAACAGAAAAAGCGAAGTGATATTTTAAGATCTAATGGAATGGTTGAGATTTTATAAAAGGAATGAAGGATTGGTTTTTGGAACTGATTTTACAGAGAAATAAAAGACTTAAAAGTCTGCTGATGGAGCACAGTTGGGCTTGAGTAATTTGCATACAATAGGTAATAAGGAAGATTTTGGAAGAATACAACAATTTAATGGATAGGTTATGGCAAAAGCTTCTAAAAGTCAAAAGAATTCAAAAGAGTACGGTGTATTTTAATAGGATTTTAATAAGATTTTAATTTCAAGGATGCGGTTAACCGATTCTTTATCAAAATAATCAGCTGAAATTAAGTAATGTAAAGATAAGGAAGATAAAAGGGACATTTTAAACGAAATATGATATCTTTTGGGGGTTACTAAAGGTCAAAAATTTTTCCTTTTAGAGTATAAATCGATCACTTTATAATTTCAGACTGAGAAAAGTGCTCAAATTGCTGCAGAGCCATCGTCGATCGCAAAAAAAGCTACCACAGCGGTAAAAGAGCCGACAGAAGCTAACCTGAACTCTACGATAAAGATCAAAAATCATCCTGAGGTGGCTTCAAAGAAAAAAGTAGCAGATGATGCGCCAATGCAGGTCTATCCTTTGAAAAAAACTTAATACTAACTACACCGAATGATTAGAGCAGTTTTGTTGACTGATCCAAAAAGAAAAAAATTTAACATATTATTCCACAAATTCTTAACTCAAACTTTTTCTTCAGGTCCAATGTTTTTATAATTTTTTTTTATTTGTGAATGACAAACAGTTCTTTGTATCACAGATAATATTGAAAGCGAATAAAAACTTCGATAAATCGAATTGAACGGGGTGGTTTTTTTACTATTTACTAATCAATATCGATTAATAAAAAACCCTTATAAACAAGTTGCCCACCAAACAAGATATGACAATATCAAACGGAACTTATTCACAAACTGTAGAATAGTTCCATCAAAAAATACTGGGCATTTGAATCTACAAGGAAAATTTGAGGTGTAAGTCCGCACTATTCTACGGATCTATGGTTAATAGAATTTATTCAGTCACATCACATTTGAATATTTTAGCTATTTTAGCTATGTTTGTCAGAATTGTCGGTTTTATAGACAATTACTTGATATGAATTGAGAATCTTTTGGACAGTTTCAAACTGAAATTTGAATGGATATTTGATAACTGATAAATGAATATTTCTTTATAATAAAATCATCGATCAATCAGAGGTTTCAAAATTTTTTATCTTCAGTGATCTACACTTATTTGTAAGAACAAAGCACCAACAATCACTGACAAGTTTGAAAGAACAAAGCACCAACAATCACTGACAAGTTATCATTCATTCACTTAATAGTCTGATTTTTTGCGAAAAATAGCTATAATTTTCCTTTTTAATTCTATAATCTACATACAATACAATACAATAGCTGTAACCGATAACATTTTATCCATATTCAAATATTATTGAGGTTCGAACTTATTTAAGTGTATTCATTTTTGTATATTTGAATCTAAAAGGAATCTTAAGATGGGAATGCATGTGGGTCGCCAGATGAAAGTTGGATCAAAAATACATTTCTAATTATTTAACGAAGTTGTCTTAATCAGCTTTAATCCTCTCGTTAGAACATAAATTAGCTAATGGTGGATTCACTGAACTACGCGGATTCTAGCATAAATCTTCCACTGCATTGCACCATATTTTTATTTGTTGTCCTTGATGCATATATAAGTTAACCCACGATAATTCGTATCAATGTACTGTTTTTTTTCAATTAAATTGAACATTCTCGAAATGAAAAAAACCAGAAACTATGTATTCATTGTTGCAATTGAACAACAGCATATTCTCCAGTTATCATCCACTCTTCACTTTCGCCGTATAGGTTTTCAATATCAGCAATAACGCTATCACTTAAGCCAACTACGGTTTCAGATTTTATTGTACGCAAAGCTAGCACAGGAGCCGGAGTGAAGCCTCTAAGAGCCACCTGAAATTAAATAGTTTGGCTAATCCATAATCACCATAGTAGACTACTCTTTCGAATCTTTCTCTAAGGCAATAAGGTTTTTTCTCAAAATTTTCAACATTTAGCCGTTTATTTTATTCAGATTTGCCTGTTTAACATTCAAACACTTCGTCTTAAAATATTTAGGTTCAATTTCGACTTGAAACCACCCATCAGTTTCATTGTAATATTAGTATCTTTGGTATATTAAAATCGATGATTGATGAAAACACAAATTTAATCGTTAACATTGTTAAGAAACGAAAAAATAAAAACTGTTGAGAATATTTAACATTTTTAAGCCAAGTAGTGGATAAACTTAAAAATACCTTAAAAGGCGTATTCCATGGCCATTTTCGATCTCCGACAAGTTTTCTGTAATTTAAATCACCTTTGAATATAATCATGGCGGATTCAGCAAGATCGTCATATAAATCAGGCGCTTGGTCTTGCATTTCACAGTAAGGAAAAGGCAATGTCCAGAATCTGTGCGCTTGGAATTCAAATTTATCCTAAAATTATCGTTGAATGTTTATTGAAAAATCGCTTTTTTTCATTATGATAATGAGGACATTAAAAAATCGAGCGTTTTCGAAATAAATGGCTCAAAGGAAAAAAATCTGAACAATATTTTGTTAAATTTCTGTGAAAAATGGCAATAGAAGGCAAGAAGTATTGAATAAAATTCATATAATTTATGAATTAATTTTTTTTTAAAAGAATACTAGTTACATAATAATATCAAAAAACTTTTGGAGGCATGCATTGTTCATTATTCTTATTTCATTTTTAACCAGCTTTAAATGCTTAATATTCCAGCGTATGTTATTAAAATAGCGAAAAAACCTTAGCGAGCATTTGTTGCCATCGTTGGCCAGCTTTGTTAAAGCTATTGTGATTGCTACCACTAAGAATTTCCAAAAGCCAGTGAAAATCGCCATTCGTTACATCGGATACGAACCAAGGCATGGCCTAAAATAATTATCTGGAATGAGTTCACTGAATTATATCTACTGCATGCAAAAACAAGTACAATTTACAAGATTACTTGGTAGATTTGAAAAAGCACATAAATTTGTATCAGTAAAGCGCTAAAAACAATAATAAAAGGCACCTTCCCACGAAAGATGACTTTCCCAACTTTAACCACGTTAATTAAGAAGTCGGCTAAGACGAGGTCACCAAATAGTTCAAGGCCTGCATTATCAAGCACAATATCGATACGCTGTCCACACGCATGCCTAGAAAATTCGTGTTGAGTTTGGCATTTCATTAGTTTTCATCAGTTTGTTCTACCGATTTGGAACAAGATTTTTGCTAAAAAACTAACTGGAGAATTTCTATGGCCTTTTGAAGATCATTTGAAATGATTTTCTCTGTGAACTTTTTACCCATTTCAAGAAGTGTGCTATCAGGAACCATACTATCACCGCAAGATAATGAAAGATCGCACTTATTGCCCCATAAACATATCTGAAAATTTACTGTAATAGGTGTAAAAATAATGTATAAAACTATAAATGTGCTGCCCACCATATTACGAAATAAAAACTGAAAGTAAGTATAAATTTTCAACCTGGCTTAACTATTTAATTAAATTTACCTGCAAAAAACGTGAGATGAGTTTTGAATCCAGTGTATGTGAATGTGTCTGTACATAGAAATTATCCAAATAATTCGCAACGACATCCGCGCTATTTATGCTGAAAAAATAGTACAGAAAATGGAAAATTAAATTATAAAAAAGAAAAAAACTCAGAGGCTCTTAATAATGAATAGTTTTTCGAAGAATTCAGCTCTGTTGATCGAACAAATTTTTTTATTTTCATGCTTTTTCCAGACTAGTTAAATACCTGTCAATGAAAGCAATTTGCTTCTGTGCTGCAAACGGATCGAATTGGCTTAAAGTTTTTGTTCTTCTAAATGCGACAGCGATTCGACGATATACATAACATTCAATAAAAAGCCAGCTCAAACGATACCAAGAAAGTTCACCCTTATTCTGAAAATATTTCAAAAATCTAGCTTTGCTGATGTAATTAATTTTCCTCAAACACAATTTTGGACATTGAACCATTTTGTATGGCATACTTTGCGAATATAAATGAATTTACTTCTTTTCTAAGCTTATACAATAAATTGTTCCATAGTTCGACGTTATCTAAATCGTCATTAAAATCAACCAAAGGCTTGTCACAAGTCATTGAGTCATGTAATTCCGTAAGTTCGGCTATCACATTTTCCATATCGCGATATCCTTCCTGAAAATTTTATATTATAAAGCTCATATTCTCAAGAACTTATTTCGATGATTTGTTTTTTTAGACTTCACTATTTCTGAATTTAGTTCTTGTGATAAGATGTTGTAATTTCTCAATTACTATTTATTATTATTGTTTTAATAGTATTATTAATTATTATTTCAATTATTATTAACATGCAATTCAGAGTCTTGGACCATATGGTAGAACTTATTTCGAAAATCAATTTTTTTGTCATTTGTCGATATTTAATTTTAAAAAAACACTAATATATTTGAAATATAATTGCTGATTACTTTCTATCATATCAGTATCACTAACCTCGCGGTAAACCGCAACATGTATTTGCCGATAACGGTGGACTTGATCAATAACCTTCGTTAAAATTATGGGCCATCTTTCATGAATAGTGTTGTAAACAAATGTTCTGTAAAAAGTTAAACTTCATATGTTTTTATACCATTTTTGGTTAAACTTACGCTGAATTGTCCCATACAAAATTTGCGATGAAACGCATGGAGCTTGGAGCATAGATATTCAGTTAGCATAAGGAGACTTCATAGCAAATTCTGTGATAATTCTTATTCAATTTTTTTGATAATCCAAGATCACAAAAAGTTAAGTAAAGTTAAATAAATTTTGCAGCAAAGAAGTTACAATTCTTAATATATGGGAGTGGTTTCTGGTATTTGGTGAATAAATGAGTATTTATGCGCCATATATTTTTGCTTTTGCTTTAATTTATTTTTGATTAAGCAGCACCAATGGTTGTTCCATTTTTTTTAAAAGAATAGAAATCATCTACCCTTTTTTCATTCCATTCAGGAAGGGTGGAAGCGAATAGACAGGAGCATCAACTAGCTCGTTCGCCATTTGTGAAAATTATTTGGCTGAAATTTTTTGATTATTTTTGAGTAATTATTGCTGAAGAATTAGTAAACTTGAATATTTGCAGAAATAATAAAAATACTCAAAAATTTTTTTTGATTGATTTTTAATTTGATTTTTTTTTGATTGAAAATTTTCAATTTTTTAATTAATTTTGATCAAATTCCTAATCACTATATAGACAGCAAATCGTTTTCAAGTTATAAATATCATTTGTTTATAAGTAAACGGAAAAACTATGGGATAACTAAAGGGAAAAAGAATAAAATACATTATGATGATCGATACATTTACAAAAACAAAATACATTATTTTTCAGGAATATGAGAATAACCACAATTCTTGATAATAATTATTTCACTGATACCATTTAAGAATCAAGAATTCTTTTAAAATTATCATGATTTGACTGATAATTATAAAAATACCCGGCAAGCGATACTTTAACAATGTTTCTGAGTGATCGCTCATAGTTTATAGGCAATTATTTCGACGTTGCGAAAACATATCAAATATTCAAAATTTTGCTTATTATTAGCCAAAAAAATGAAATTGCCAGTATTTTGGAAGACCGAAAAAGTATGCCACATCTATTAAAAATAATGACTAATTTTTTCGAAATATTTTTTTCCACAGTGCATTAATTTGAAAGGAAAATTGGTACGGTTTCTTCGCAAACTAAACTAATTAAACCTTGTTTAACAATTGAATTATATTTTCTTTAAAATATAATTTATCAAATGTGAAAATGGGAATGGGAATAATAGAAATATTAAATAAAGCGCAGAATTGAAAAAATTTAAGCGAAATGACATTTTAATCCATTTGTTAAATATAAAATGAATATTAATAGTTCGACAAAAGTTATGAATTGTTTCGAATGAAATTCAAGAAAATTTTGATTATAATTTTACAAAACTTCTATGGGTGAATTAAGAAAATTTGCTTAGCAAATATATATCAATATTGCAATAATTTTTTTTAAATAAGAGTCTTTGCTTGCAACTTATTTTATTCATATTTATTTCCGATAATTCATCTTCAACAATGAACAAATATCAATATTTTTTTCTCCGTACCACTATTAATAAATCGACCTGTGATAATCTTAATGGTACCAATAAAACCATGCGATTCGCCTATTGATATTAATTGTTTAACAATTGTTAATATGATAAATGATATTGAAATAACATTTTTGTGCAAAAAATTAAAGGCTCCAAATATACTTGATAACTTCGTTGCGCAAAACCTATGTAGAATTTGCAAAATTCATTCATTTACCGTTTCAAATTATCCTACGATAACAAATATTTTGTTGCAAAAATTCGTTAAAGCGCATTTCAAGTATATATCTCATTTTCTAATTTATATCAATTAATATAATTTATATCAAAATCCCTCAACTCAAAATTTGCATGACATAAACAAGAAAATATTTTCATTAATATACTATGTAACATTTCCCAAATACTTTGGCTTAAATGGGCACGGCTTTTCGCTTACGTTTAGTCTGAATAATAAAATACTTTTTATTAAAAGTATTTTTCTCCAATTTCTTAAAATTAACGCGCCCTTACTTAAATAGCAAGAGGAAGTGCAAAGGATCAATGATATTTTACCGAAATAATTATTCAATTAAAAAAAAGAAAGGCATTCCATTCGGAAGAGAAATTTGTAAAGTCAACAAATTTATTTTACAATCAATCAGCAGTTGAAATTCTGCCAAAAATATTGAGAAAAAGTTCATTAAGCCGAATAGAAAGAAGTAAATGCCGTTTCATACAATATAGTAAATATACTATAGTCTGAATAGTAAAATAATAAAACTTTTTGTTTATAAAAGTATTTACAAAATTTGCAATAATAATACATCACTAACTAAAAAAGTTCTTCAATTATCGCTGACTTTTAAATTTAACAAATGGTGAATGAATCTTATAATGTTGGAATACCATACCGATTTTATCTAAAATGTAATTATCAATGAGAAAATTGCGATATATATCAAATTATGAGCCTCACTATAGTATTAAAACAAAATCAACATATTTCCGATACAACAGATTTCATGAAATAAGGAAACGTTTTGCAATTATTAACCATACTGAGGCATTAAAGCAATAAGAAAATATATGCACAAATCTGATTTTCAAATTTTATGATGAATGACAGATATGCAGCAAAAATAATTGCAAGAACCACAACCGGACATGGATAGGTGGTCAAAAGTTGATTGAAATAATTTGCCTAGAAACAAAGACCGAAATAACAATGGAAAAAAAAGCCCTTTGTCATCGCTACTAGTTCATTATTTGTTGCACACTAACTAAATTTCGAAAATTTATTATAATGGTTTTAATTCTGTCAGCTGACAGATTAATTTTTATCGCCAAGCATCAAAGCAATTCTCCAAAATTATCACAATGAATATTTTATCAATGTTCAACAAACTTGATCGTTGATCGCATTAATTAACTTTCTTTCACTGTTATTCAAAGCAAAGAAAAGACTTTTCGCATTTTTCCTATTGAATTTTCTGATCTGGAAAGACTTGATTCCTCGAATCCATTAGTAATTCTCTTGCTTTATAATCACACAATTTTCTTATTTCCACCATTATATACTTTTAAACTATTTTTTAGTGAACCTGGTGAAAATGATGGTTATCCGCAATAAATTTATATTTGTTAATTTTATATTACTTTTCTAAAAAAGAAAGAGAAACTGGAGAAGTGAAAAGTGAAGGCCAAAGTAATAGCTGAGAGGGCTGTGACCTTTAAACCTTTTTTTTTTAAGAGCCCTCACCTCAGACTGGCTCCACTGGCTTGTCGCAATAGATAAATATGCCAGGGAGTTCTTTGGCGACAGAAATACAAGTGAGTCGTCAACATTCCGAATTTTTGGACAGGTTTATTCCTGTGGGAAGCAGAACTTTAGCATCGGCGTTCAGAGTTGATCACTAATCCACTGAGCCATTCAACTCCCTGACCTTTAAACTAGAAAAGTATAACTGGGAAAGCAGTTCCTATGCAACAGATTCCAGGAACAATACTCAAGATCTTTTTCCAGATGAATGCACTCCTAGGAAGATAAATAAATAAATAAGACATTGCGCAGAGCTCACAAGCTTCCAGACCTCTCAAATAGTTTTATCAATGAAAATAGATGTAATATCGCTACAAACCCTTTGAGTTTTCTCAAGTTATGTTGGGCTTTACATATTTGAGATATTTTAATCGCATCTCATGTCGGCCCAGACGTCATATGTTATGTGTCGAGAAATCAGGATATAAAGGGAGAGAAAACAAGGCGATGTATGGTTGAATGCCTAGTAGATGTATGCCTGTCAGGCTTGGCCTTATGCATATATATATATAATATATACATAGTGGTAATGTGACAATAAATGAAAATACTAGTTTATCAAATGCTAATAAAGAACAGTGGAATGGTTAAACCAAAGACTGAGAAACAAGAAATATTCAAAACACATTTGATTTGATTTAGCGAGGAATCTCTTACAGTGCCATTTCACTTTGTAAACAACCATTTTTTGTTATAAAAAATTAGCAAAATTTTTTATTACTAGGATACGCATATCAAATATACATGCAGCTGGTAAATAACCGCTTTTGATACAAACAATTTTGGATAAGTTGAATGTGAAAAAACAAAAAAAATAAAAGCAAAAAATTGCTCATTGAAGGATTTCTAAAACTAAATCATTACATATTTTCTATAGTTTTTCTCAGCGAAAAAATTTAAAAATTTAGTACCAATCATAGAAAAAAATCCAATTCTCTCAACAGACAAAAATAAGATTATAAAATGAACATATGCTTAAAATTTGCGAATAAAATCAAATTCTATAACAATATCGATAAAAAATCGCAGAATTTTGTTGATACATAAGCATTCATCAAATGCTGTGATAAAATTTAAAAATTATTTCATTTTGATAGTTGAACTACAGCGTATTCGCCTGCGACCATCCAATCCTCCTTATCGCCAAACTGGCGATTGATACTTTCGATAATATCAGAACTTAACCCTACTAAGGTTTCAGCTTTCAGTATACGTAATGCCAATATCGGAGCAGGCGCAAATTTTCGAAGAGCGGTCTAAAATTTAATTATACCCATTAAGATATTCAATGAACTCAAAAAAATATTAAATTATCAATTAAGCAAATAAAATTACAAAATACATCGTAGTGGAATTTTTATAAAAATATTAAAAACCTTAAATATATAAAAAATACTTTGAACAGAGTGCCGTGAGGCCACTTACGATCGCCAATAAGTTTTCTATAGTTTAGGTCACCTTTGAAAATCAACAAAGTAGATTTTTTCAAATCATTGTATAAATCCGGATCCTCAATATGCATATCGCAATAAGGAAATGGCAAAGTCCAAAATTCCTCTGCTCGAAACTCCAGTTTGCCCTGAAAAAATATTTCTAAATATTTTAAAATTTCTAGAAAGAAACTATTTATGCCTCACCTTAATACCTTAAAAATAACTTAAAAAACACTAAATAGAATGCCAACAGATTTCACTCACTAAAAATTTGAATTTTCTATTGATTAATAAGTATTTATAAATCTTAAAGATTAATATAATTCAAATAAAAAATCGTGAGGTGATTATTAGATGAATTAACAACTTCAACGATGATTCTTTACTAATTAATACATGAACGCAATTATTATCCAAAAAATAAAGATATCGCAAATTCACTATTATTGCTTACAAGTGACTGCGGCAAAAAAATGAGATATAAATGAGATGACTTCGTAATACTACGAAGCATTTGATGACAATCTGCTTTAATACTCAATAATTATCGAATTTCATCTAAAAGGAGGATCATCGAAGCAATCACTGTTCAGATATCATCGCCAACGCCAGATTTAGAGTCTGTTTTGCCTCCAACAGAAGTGGTCTTTTCATTTAAAAAAATCCGAATGACCCTTGTATTTTCGTTGCTTAATAAGATTTCTGGCAAAAATTTCTCATCGTACAGATGGTGAGAGCTAACCAAATAGTTACGTCTAAAATATACCTCAGCAAGCATTCCTTGCCAACGTAGGCCCATTTCGCGTAACACTTCGTTGTTACTGGTACCAAGAATTCTGAGCAGCCAGTTAAAATCCTTCACAGTCACATCAGAAACGAACCATGGTATTGACTATCAAAAAACAAAATTAATAAAAATGTCACAGACAAAATCGATACAAAATTTTAAAAAAACCAACTTCTATTTCCATCACCCGCGACTCTATGATGAAGGGGCTCTGCCCTATAATAATAGCGCTAATCAAACCAGAAATGATGAGCTTGCAGAAAAAAATTACAACAACCTTGCCATGACAAACAACCTTGCCAATATTGAGCATAGAGATCAAAAAATCGGCAAGTACAAAGTCAACGAAGAGTTCAAAACCTGCATTGTCAAGTACCAAATCTACTCGCTGTCCAGCTGCCTTCCTTTAATGAAAGAAATTTAACAGAAAATTTTATAAAATAAGAAGCAGAAAAAAAATTTATATGGAGAAATACATTAAAATGGTTTCTGCTTCAGCGATATCATTTGAAAGAATTTTTTCATCTAAATTTTTAATCATTTCAACTGAAGAATAAATGGGCGCAGAACTATCGCCACCTGACAGCGACAAATCGCATGTATTACCCCACAAACAAATCTGAAAAATCGTTACGATTTTATATCTTCGTGAATTGAAATGATTATCATGCTTTTTAATTAAAAACTAAATAATAAATATTATGCCAATACTATCATCATAAAAATTTGCCTTTAAGAAATTAGAAATTGGTGCAAACTCGCAATTATTTGTAGCAAAATTTGAACGGACTTCCGCCAAGTACTTGCCAACAACTTCTGCATTACGAATACTGCAAAAAAAATTCCGTTCAACATTTATTAAAAAAAAATCGAAAATGAATTTTTCATCGATTAGGAAGAAATTTAATCATTCAATTTCAGATCAAATAAAATTATACCAAAAACCTTATTAACCTCACAAAAAACCTTATAACAGACCAAGCAAATCTGAAAAAGCTTAACTTTCAATAAATGCACTTTGCTTTGGCGCTTCAAAAGGATCAAACTGATTCAGTGTGGCTGTTTTGGAAAATATGCCAGCCATAAAGCGGTACAAATAACATTCAGCAAAAATCCAATCCGAGCTATACCATGTCACTTCACCGTTTGCCTGAAAAACAGTCCTTGCAAAACTGTTCTTAAAACAATAGCAAATATCAACGACTTACTTCGTCTCGTAATTTACTTAAAATTTTATTCCAACGACACAGATTTTCACCGTTATCGGTCAGATCCTTCAACGGTTTATCGGTACTAATGCGATACATCAATTCGGATAATTCACTAATTACGGTTGTTATGTCTCGACTTCCTTCCTGTAATAAAAGAATATTTCATTAATAGAATAGTGTTTTTGCTTTTAGCAAATAGTAAAAAGTAATTTATAAGCTGATAATTTTAATAATGATAATTTTAAAATAAAGCTATGAGCGATAATCGGATGTCTACTTGATGGTATGTGGCAACATGGGTATGATAGTGACGGTGTACTTGGTCGACAACTTTTCCTATTATTTTTGGCCAACGATCTTTAATTGTTTTATAGACAAATGATCTGAAAAATTACCTTATTTGAGTTTTTAGTTTTACCACTTAGAAAAACAATTGTTGGACATCATTAGAAAGAAAGAGTAAAAACTGTGATAAAAGCAGGAGTGAGTCCTACAAAAGTGAAGCCTGAAATCAACCCAGAAAACCTTAAAAAAATTTTGACTTAAAAATAAAAAATTCATACCCCTTTATAAGCCCATTCAGAACTGGAGGGAGCTCTTCGACTGACGGCATTCTTACGAATTTTTTTCTCGGAGACTTCAACAATAGATCAAATTACCTGAAAAAATTTTATATATTCAACTGATACTAGGTGAAAGGCGGCTCCACATATCTTCGTGATATTTTCTTTCTTGTTTACTATATCCTTTCTACTATATCTGCATCCCCTTGCATCGCTCTCCCTTCTCATGAAAACAATTCACATCAGTTTACTTCATCCTTTCAGTGGCTATAATTTTAAAACCATTTTTCATCTTTCATGGTCCTACTCAATCCTTACCACTAAGAAACGAAGACATCTATCTCCATAACCAAAAAGTAGCGTTCCATCGGTGCCCGAATGATTAAAAAGCAAGGACAACAATTTTTCAACTTATATAAAAGATAGATTGTAATAACGAGCTCAATTGATTAATAAAGGTGAAATACATAGTGCGAAAGATGCGAAAGATCTGGTCTTCCACAGGAAGAGAATAAACCAAGCTTTTACTTAAAAATAAAAGTAAATCCATGTCCAAACAAATTTCTATAATTTTAGGCATAAATAGAAGAATGCGGTTCTAGAAATTTAAACAGCTGGAATATTTAAAACATTGTAAAAACAGAAGGTCTACTCATAGTTTTTAATAAATGTTTCGAAAATTTAAATAGTATCTAACATCTATTTTCTTCCTGTTAGCAATTTCTGGTCCCCGCCCCATTGGCATGGACCATCTGGTTGGCAGATTTATTCTCGTCAAGGGGAAAGAATGGATCATATGGATCAAATTTTTAAAGAATTCATTCAATTTGATGACTTTTAACTAATAGCCAAAGATAGATAAATAAATGGTGATATATATACATGATTCTCATGAAAATTTCCTTTCCTTGTAAATTTCTAGACCGCTGGAAAACAAAACATGTACAAACCTTTAATTCATTAAAAATTATAATTTTAAAAATTAAAAATTATAATTTTATGAGCTTATTTGTTCCTTAATAAGATCAAATAAGTAAATTTTTGATGATGTTGTTAATTTATTTTGATAATCAATGCTAATTAAAATATTAATTTCTTTTTTTCTTGTCCTTCATAATCCTATATAAACTTATAACATTAAAATTGTAATCATAAATTAATTTACAAAAAAAAACTGTGAATGATAAGCGAAATAAAAAATATTTAAAAATATGTATAAATATTCTTCTTCTTCTTCTAAAAGTTCTCACCATTACTGGTTAGGCTGGCTCCAATAGCTCGACGGTGATAGAAGCCATCCCTTTTTCCCTCATCTAAGTCCATATATTGTTAGTCCACCTATAAGTTCAAAATCTTTCCTGACCGTATCAGTCCAGGTCTTGATTGGCCCACCTCGCTTTTGACACGGTTTAGTAAGTAACGAAATATGCGACAACTCTTGTGGTGGACGACGAAGAACATGCCCTAACCACCGAAGGTGACGCTCTGTGATATTATTAATACAGGTGGCAAAGGTGGATGCGATCACGTGATATTTTATCTGCTCGACGGACCTGTAAAATATACCTTAGACAAGAGTGATCAAAGGCAGATGACTTCTTCTTAATATCTTCCACTGTCGTTGGCCATGTCTCAGAGCCATATAGCAAGATCTAACGAATTACGGCTATACATAAGAGGATTTTTGTTTTAATGGTAATTTCACGACGGCTCGATAAAGATTTCGTCAACCGGAAGAACGCATTTCTAGCTGCCGTGATCCAGGTTATAATATCGTCTTTTGTCTGGCCATTAGGGCGTATCCACGGTGTTAAAAGTCAAGCCCTTTCTCAAACGGTAATGAATTGATAAAAATAAGTATGTTATCACCATCTTGTGTATAAGACGAAAGCACTTTCGTTTTTTTGATTTTGAGTCCGATTCTTGCTGCATTTTCTGACACGTTATTTAGTATTACTTGCATTTCGTTATAACTGTCAGCAAAAAGGACTACATCATCAGTGTATTCAAGATCTGTGATACGATGTTCTGGACTGATTTGGACACTCCTTGAATGCCGACAAGGAGTGTCCATTACCCAGTTCATCGCATAGTTGAATATTGTGAGGGAAAGGACGCAGCCTTGAGGAATACCAGTTTTTCGAAGGAGTCTGTCAGTTCCCCATATACACAGATCTGCGCCGACGTAAGCTCATAAAATGCCTTTATAAGTCGAATGATCTTCTCTGGAACACCCGTCGCATTCCATCATCCAATCCAAAGTGCCTATCAATTGAATTAAAAGCAGCCGTATGGGTTGCATATATCTAAAGCGATGTTCCAACATCCTTCTTAATGTGAATATTTGGTCAGCACAACCATGTCCCGATCTGAATCAAGCTTGATTAGGGCGCATCTTGTTGTCTCGTACTTCCATAAGTCTATTGAATAAAAGAAAAGCAAAAATTTTCGTTGACAATCGGTAACGCCATATCGCCCCGAGTCATCAAAAGCACCACAGCGATATAGCCAGTATCTCTATGTTCTAAGCCAGGATTAATAACCAATCGAGACCCGAAATAAGGAAGACGGACCTCCGACAAGCAAACGATATCCACACGATATTTAGAAAGGGTGTTGACAGTGATCGCTTGGCTTGCAACTTCGATAAGCGTTCTGACGTTCCACGCTGATATGGCTAAAACTTCGCCACGCGTGCAGAGAGCTGTTCCCATCGTTATGTTTCGAGCAATGGCTTGCGAGCCATTTTATTTATCAGCCTTGGGATCGCTTTAAGCTCGGATTGTGCATTTACTGCATGCACCACCGGATTAGGAGTATCATGAGCATTGGGAGACGCGGACGTCGTATCAAAAATACCCCTTCATCACAGAGCCACATGGGGATAGAGATACAGGTGGGTTCCCAGCAGCCACTCGGATTTTTGACATAATGGCTTGATTATTCTAGGTTTACTCCTGCCAAAGTGAAAAAAAATTAAATTTAAAGAAAATAATAAAATGAAATCTTTAAAAAAATAAAAATAAAAAGGCAATTAAATTTAAATATATATATATTATTTATGCAATTTAATCGATTTGATTTATAATTTATTTAATTTAATTTATTAAATTCTAATTTATTTTATTTTAATCGTTGTTTGGTAAAAAAAAATAAAAATTTTAAGAAGATTTGGCTGAATTGCGATCAAAAATGAAAAATAAATACGCAAAAATAAATCGAAAATATTTTTTGAAATGATCGTTCAGCAAAAAAATTTACATATATAAAAAAACAAGGAATAGAACAAACTATTCGTGAAGAAAGTTAATGAATTCTAGTAAAATTTATAGTAAAACGAATTATTAAGAATACCAAATATTAAGAATATTAAATATTAAGAAATATAAATCTAAATTTCGTCAAAATTACTATAAAGGAGCAGAAATGCCGAGTCTCATTACTGCTCAGAACAAATTCAGATCATGGTTCGAACCCTGTTTCCGACAGGAGTAAACCGATTATTAAAAAACGCAGGAGACCCACCTGGACCTTTGTCGCAAAATAAGCCTTTCGCGAAGGTATCTCATCCCAGCATGTGGGGCGGGTATAACCATTTACTGCCTGAATTCGTTTTTGCATAGCAGAAGTTTTCAGGAATCGGTCGTCTCAAATTTAGCAAAATTTATAAATTTAACTCGATGTACCGCGCATACTTTTCAGAATCTGGTAGAAGTCTGGTAAAAGATTTCCTGTTAGATTTGGCTGAAATTACAATTTTTTCTACAACCAACAGTTACGGGTTTTTTTACACAAAAATTTATGTAAAATCATGACTGGAAAATTTTAATTTATCAAAAATAATTAATTGCTTACCATTTCTGTTTAGCCTAGCCCCGAGGGCAGTTCGTGCGATTGCAGATTTTCGCCAGTGGATCATTTAATGAAAGAAATTTAGGGAGGTGACTAAGTCACTGGCCACTGCCTCGATTTGTTAATAACAGATTTATTCCTATCAGGGATAGGATATGAACTGTTGCCCTTCAACACGTTCATGCCTCAAAACGACCAATTTGCCTCAAAATTTCAGAAATTTCTGGATTTCTGGACTATATATCAATGAAATAAATTTTATTAAACACTTTCTTGCAAAAAATTTTCTTGCAGACCCTTTGAAATCCACTGAAAGACTCGAGAATTGTGAACCATATATTAAAGAACCCTTGCTATCTCATAGTCATCCTAATACTCAGAACCATTTGCTCGAATCTACAAAATCATAAACTTTTTTCTTGAAACTTCATAAAAGCTGTAACCTACAACTGTAATTCAAAACCATGCCACAAAAAACAATTCACCACGGCAAAGAATTATAGAATCTAGCTGCGAATTTAATAGAACTTACTAAAACTCGGAAGCTGCCTTCTTGCTTACATCTATAACGTTGCGGATTGTACAATTTGATATAGTGTTGGAAAATCTAAAATTGTAAAACTTCATAAACATAGTTTCGGGAATTAAGGCTTTAAGGCTTGATGATTTCCCAGCTTACAACTTGATTAATGCTAAGGGATTTCCCTGAAATAACTTCTAATGGGTTTGCCACTTCTAACCTATTTGACAATATAAATCAGTATAAATAAATAAGCAACAGTATAAATCGAGAAGAAAACCATTAAATTGAAAAATATTCGAATTAAACAAATTTACCACATGCAAAAAGGCAAAAGATTTTTAAATTTGTTTCTAGACTGGCAATTTCCTGGACTTTATAAATTTGAAGGAAAAATCATCACAAATGAAGAGATTATCGATCTGTAACTGATGGAAGTATACCAAATTTTATATTGAATCAAATTCATTAATAGTAAAGCAAAAAGTGGAGAAAAACCATCAAGCAAGCAAAGATTCAGGATCGGAGCATCGCTCCTGTGCTTACTTATTACAGTTACTTTTACATGTAGCGGAGAGATTTGAGGGAGAATGAATTGACGATGTTTAGTACAAGTGGTTGGACTGATGAGAGTTAACTCGGGAAGGATGTGGTTCTTTAGTCGAAGACCTAATAATTAATCGTCGTGCCCAAGCAGACTAAAATATTTTTTATTTTTATTGTAATACAAATTATAAATAATAATGTTCGACATAAAACGAATAAAAATTAAAAGTTATTATAAAAAACAAAATAAGAAAATGAAGAATTCGACTTCAGCTTCTTCAACTTCAAAGTGAGCCAATTTTATAGTGTGTTAGTGCATATATATATATATATGGTATTTTAATTTGCCAAAAATATTTTAGTGGGAATGGCATGCAACGAATGTTTAACAAATATGTACTATAAAAAATTATAATTATCTGATTATAGCCTTAATAGATACGAGATTCGTTACATGATAAAAAATTTCACACGCTGAATTATTTTTTTAGATATACAAAAAGAAGGGAATGGAATCCTTCTGAATCAAGATAGTAAAAAAAACGTATGAAAAAATTATTGTAGGAATTTGAAATAGTAAGCTGATTCACAGAAATTATTTGAGGAATTTGTTTTCTGTACTTATTTGCGACATTACGCGCACAAAATTTGTTTGTAAATAATCATTCAAGCATTTCAATATTTCATTTCAATATTTTATAGAAGGACCACCCAATCTTTTACTGCCTAATTTTTATAAAACACTGTGGTCAAAAATGAGCAGAACATGAATCAATATGCGATAAATCGAAGCAGTTCTCTACAATATACTTTTTTTAACGGAAAAGGAAACCTATGAAATGAAATATGAAATACAAACAGCGCATATTTAAAAGCATATTTTTTTCCTTTATTTGAGAGCTTAGCCTATAAGAAACCAAGACGCCATTCAACAGGAAAATCGACAGGAACGACATTATTCTTTTTTCTTCCTTTTCATTGGTAACAATTTCTTGAAAACAGCAGATATGATCGAGGTGAAAAATTGAAAAAATGCTGCAAAAGAAAATCGCCGAGGGCGTCATGAATTTGAAAGAACGACATCATCATCAAGTGCAACAGTGTTATATATGAGTTGCTGAGTAGCTATATTCGATATAGGTGGAGAATACTTATTTGAAACGATATAGTAGAAAAATGTTGTACGCAGCAGCAGATATCGGAAATTGCGCAATAATTATATCATGAAATTATAAGCGTTTTAATCGTTTGCTTCATTTTGTCGTGTTATTTTTCATCTTTGGCTTTTTTTGCCGTGTCACGTTCAACGTTGGCTTGATTCATGGTGGCCATCCTTTTTCTTTCTTTTTTTTAATTTGATACTATATATCTATATATATATATATATATATGCATGTATTTTCGCAAATTTTTCTATTATATTACTAGCTGGATAGTAGTAAAACTTTCAACTAATTATAAATTCTAGCATCAATGTCGAGAATTTTCTCGAAACTATGAATCATTGTTTATAAAAATAAAAAGGTCACAACAATGTCGAGAATGTCGAGAATTTTCTCGAAACTATGAATCATTGTTTATAAAAATCAAAGATCACTTCTTTCTCTTTCTTTTTCTGCTTCTTCCTTTTAAAACGCTGTGTGGGAGTGGGTTTCCTTTTTTTTGCAATATAAATAGTTTTTTTTTAAACTCACGTTTTACCTAAAC